CCCCTCCTCTGGGCTCCTGACTCTTTTTGCAACCTTTCTACTGCTACTCCTTGGCTCTTTCTTACTGCTGTCTTTCAGCAGCTACTCTGATCTTATGGTAGGTAAGATTTAACACCTAAGCTTCTCGGACGAAAAGGGGGGAAAATCTCGGAGGTTCCGTGTGCAAGTAAAGCACTTTAAAGATCCCTTAGTGGTCCAAAATAGGTAAGAGTAGGCTTCGGCCACCACCCGGGCAAAATTCGAAATTAATTCCTACCAAACTGAAAATGTTTAATATGTCCCGCGCGCTCATATGACCGTATGCAGTTGCAAGCACCGCAAAACACCTACAGAAACAACAACAACAACAACAACAACAACAACAACAACAACAACAACAAAAACCATCTCCGCGAAGAGTGCGCTCCAAGGACCACGCCTTTACGCCTGCGTCAAAGTAAAAGTGTCAACACATCGAAGTTCATGATTCAGGAATTTATTGTATAAGTCCTTAGTCTGAGAATTATCATACCTTTGTAGCGCAGCTATGGTCTCTGGGTGGTTGACTTTCTCGAGGTATATCTCCATAATCTGTCTCTTGACCAAATGTATTTGGGATATGCATGTGGGTTTTAACCGCAATCCACCTCCAGAAATAACATGGTTATTTTGTTTTTCTTGCGAAAATTGAAGCCGTGATTGATTTTGCCTCTTTGTTTATTGTTTAAAAAAAAACAACCTACCTTGAATAATCATATACACAATTTAGCATGGCTGACACTACCGTGGTCATTGTGTTTCAACAATAAAGACGCTTCCACAATGAATTTTCTCCTGGCTGTATTCTTTTGTCCGTAGTCTGAAACCTCCCATTAATATCATATCTTCCCACCTACAGTGTCTAAATACACACTCCTACTTCGGCTTGTTCATTTTCATCTGTTTGTTTATACTTATTTTAGCTCATTTATTAATTTCTCAATGCTCATGTGAAATAATTGATTTAGATTGAACTAGCCTGCGAATTACGCATCTTGGGACAGTGAAACAACCCTGCCCCTACATTTCAGTGCTATCACGTAGTGTGGCCTAGTGGTTAGGCTCTCGGACTCGCAACCGTAAGGTCGTGGGTTCGAATCCCGTCAAGGGTCCGATGTTGTGTCCT